GAAGAAGAAGAAGAAAGAGGAGGAGGAGGTGGTAATGGTTTAGATCTCAGACTCAAGCTCTAGTGGTGTCAATGTAATGTTTATTCTTTTCCTCCTTCTGTGGTAGGGTTACTGATAATGTTGCAAGGCAGTGAGAGGAACCTGCGAGTTTATTTAAGCTAGAAAGATGCAAGGATGTAAATTTGGCTAGCCACAACAGAATGAATGAAAAAAGAAAAAATAAATAAAAAGAAACTGAAATAGCAGGTTGAAATGAAACTTGCATTAGTGCAGAATTTTACTTATTTATTTACTAATTTAGTACCCATTCTGAACTTGTAAGTTCGATATAACTTTCTAACATTTTAACGTATAAATTAAATAGTTTTAAATGGAAAAAACGAAAAACAAAGTGGTTTATAACTTTGTATAACCTTTTTTTCTCTTACATTTGGAGTACAATTAAGAGCCAGCTTCTTTGCATATCCTTCAAAAAAAAGGAAAGAAAGTATGGATTAAACTAAGGAAAGAAAATATTAAGAAACATGGGGAGAGAGATGCTTTTAAAAAAGGGAAAATGATGTTTTTGAATTGTATAAAATTACAGTAGAATTCAGAATTTTGCAGTGTGGTACAATTTATTTTCCGTTAATATTACTAAGCTTGGGTGAAATAATTAAATAGACATGGATAAATCTCAGAATACATAAATGATACGAATTCCAAAGCTCAGTTGACTATCAATAATAAGGTACGTATAAGCTTATGTATGTGAAGTAATAAACTGCATTAACGCGTAGGATCATATGAACATAATTTATATTTGTATGCAAAATTCATTTGAACCCATTATGGTGAATTGATATCCACAGATTTAAAAATGTATAAGTTTGAAGTAAAATTGTGTTTAGATACATATCGGCTATGTATGTAGATGCACATCAGCTCATATTGGCCTAATTGTAGTGAGACTTTAAACCTTCCCTAAAATCAATATTTTAAAACCTGAAATGGCTCAGATGATTGAATTATTAACCTGACAGCCATAACTTTATTTTTGGTTGGTTTGACAAGGTCATTCACTTTTAATCTAAAAAAAAAAATAAAGTTATAATGAGATCCCAACTAACTTACTGGTAAAGCATCTTCCTGTGCCAGGTATAGGGGAGACATGGCTTGCATTCTCGCAACCATGGTAGCATGCAGTTGAAATCAGTCCCCCACAAGATAGTTTTCCACAATGTCCTACAGCACATTCCCGTCGTGTATTAGAAACATCTCCCAATGATGCCTCATCATTTTTGGTATTATCATCGGGAAATGTTCCCAATACACAGCAGGAATATGCTGTGGGACGTTGTGGAAAACTATCTTGCAGGGGGCTGATTTCAACTCCTAAAATTGATGGTATGCATTGAGGATATAGGGCCATCATCTTAATCCCCACATGCAGATAAAGAATTGCAAATTTCCATCATATTTAAGCTTGCGTTATAATTGTGTGACTATGAAAGTAAATTGTATTTTATCCGTATTGGGCAACCTAGATATAATCTTAAATGCATATTAAGGACCTAATTTTTTTATGGAACTAATAAGGACCTAATTTTAAAACCCTTGAACCATTTGAGCAAGAGCACAGCGGAATTAAGAAACAAAGTTATATAAATACAATGTTCAAACAAATTTTATGAGAACTTCGTTGAGCCAAAGGTTAAACCCGTTGAAACCAAAGCTCAATACGAGTCCCTCCTAATTAGGTTTTCAGTGAATGAGACCACATTTCAGATTGCAGAAGGGACAAAATATTTAGCTATGGCGTGGACCACAATAACATGTCCGTCCTTTATAATTAGGTTTTCAATGAAAGAGACCACATTTATGATTGCAAGAAGGGCAAATAAATAGCTATGGCGTGGGCCAAAATGACGTGGTAGAAACGACACAGTGTCCCTCCTAAATCTTAATAATTAGGTTTTCAATGAAAGAGACCACATTTAAGATTGCAGCAAGGGCAAATTATGGCTAAGGCATGGACCAAAATGACGTGGTAGAAACGACACTGTGGATTGGATATGGTCCTAACCTTCAGCATTTTGTGTACAAAATGGCTACTCTCAGAATATAACTTACATTCCTAGGAATGCCACGTTACTATCAGAGTGGGGTAAAATAGTAATTGCTCTCTATTTCCTCTTGACCAGAAAGATAGACATGGGCGTGAATGGGTGAAAATGTCCAGCCCAAAAGCACTCTCAACAGCATAGACTGTTGGCCCCCAACAGCTGAAGTTATCCCCTAATTTTGTAACAGATCTTAGAAGTTTAATTTGTGAAGTTGCTGCTGCTGTTGTGTCCTCAAAAGTGCTCAATCACTTTATAATCCAATTCATATTGTAATGTTCAATCAACCAAACCACCGTCAAATTACCGCCATGTCGACCCCGTTAAGCAAGTCACCGATATACCCATTTGAATCCAAAAGCTTCTCCCCTCTCTTCCTCGGTCCATCCATGCCCCTCCATTGTACAACTCCTTTCTATGGTGTACATTCCTGTCAAGACATTGATTTGTTGCACTCTTACTGTATGCCCTTAACTCCAATCAGCATGATGTATATTATGACATTTATTGTAAATGAATAAATTACATATTTGATTCATGTTATTATGGTGTGTTTCTGTGTAAAACCCTTAAACTGAACACATATGAGACTCGTATTAGTTTAGAATCTTCATACCCGTTGGATAGATCTGGAGAGATTTATCCTGCCAAGGCTAACACTGATGTACCGCCAAGTTAGTTGGGGTAGCTTGTCTCAACTGCCAGGGTGAGACCTGAGGTACATGTAGTGTGTGTTTTCTTGAAACCCTAAACCAGACCAAAATTTCAGTATTGCCCTAGACCTTGGAGATAGATGGTCAAAACTGGAATGTTACACTTGACCCCTAGACTCAATTATGATGTTGCACTAGGTGTCGGATTGGGCTGTCTTTAATTTGCCAATCAGTGAGATTTTTAGAGGGTCAAAACCTAGGTATGTTGGGACAATCCGAGAATAATCTGAGTGAGTGATCATAGTGACAGGATCAGCTCCTTTGTCGGACAAAGTGAATGATCGGGGATGCACTCTCTCTGATGGAAACCTAAACTGCCAACAGTTGATTTCAACCGTTAAAATTTGTTTTTCAAAATATATTTATCTAGATAGATATATATATATATATATATATATATATATATATATAGGTTTCAAAATGTTTGCAAAAGGTTTTAATTCCCGGGATCCATGTGAATAAAGAGTGCAACACTGCACCTTGCGGCCGAAAGAAAAGTCCTCTCTTGTCGGGTAGTGTTTGATCATTATGGGCTGAGAGGTTAAGTGTAAGACCATTGAGGGTTATACTTGATGGGCTAATCTTGCATCTGTCCATAGTACTTGGGCCTTCATAAGATGGCTGGACCCAATGACCATTTAGTGTAAATGTTGGGCTCATTGAGAGCCCATAGTGATGAACTCAGTGGTTCACTGTATTCAGTAGTGAATTCGGCCAAGCTGTGTAACAGAGGCTAGGCTAAACCCATGTGGCTGATGTGTAGAACAATAATAGGGTCCCACGCCATACAAAAAGAGCTAAGCTAGGTAGCATTAAAGTGGAAGTGACCATAAAAACTTAATGGGCATAAAATCCCATTTCGAACTGGGTTAATTAGATTAATTAAATAGGAGCGGATCTGGGATTTGGATCAGTAGATAAGATAAGGGATTATCCTTATCTACTTAAAGAGTCTAGATCCAAATAAAGATTTAGATCATAAAAACGCCTAATTTGATTAGGAAGGTTGATCTTTATCTATAGATAAGATAAGGGATTATCCTTATCACTTAAAGAGCTCAGATCCAAATAAAAGATTTGGATTAGGAAACTCTTGATGGGATTAGGAAATTTTCTCTTTAAGGCTATAAATAAGAAAGTAAGGCGAACCTCCAAAGATACATTCGCTGAATACAGAGAGAAGACAACACAATTAAACTACACTTGCCTTCTACTCTTTTTCTTCATATTCTTGCTGCCCCACGTTGTTGATCTCTAGTTCTTGGATTCGATCAAGATTGGATCTTGATATTGTTTCTTGCGAGAAAAACAATCTAAAAGTTGTGCTCACTGTCCTATTCGATTCTTGTTGAAGAATCACTAGTTCTTGGTGAAGAACTACCTGTTGATCATGTTTCACCCTAAGTTGTGTCATCTTTAATGGAGGGAGGATTTGGTACTCACTTTGGGCGTGAACACCTACGTTGGAAAGAGCATTCTTGCGTAGATTTCATATCAGGTATATCCTTCCCTTAATTTGGTTTTAGATTTGATCTGTTTTGGTTACAATAACGAATTTTGAAAATGTAGTTTTCTAAATTATGAATAAAATTTACAGATGGAAGTAAAGAAATTTTTGAAATTTCGCCTAACCCTCCTGCAGGGTTCGGCCATCCATATGATGGATCTCCCATGCCTTCACTTACTTCTCTTCTTCCCCAAAGTAAATTAACTACTAAGATGTCATTTAAAAAGTTTGCTCAACTCCACTTCTCTTCTAAGAAATCTGTATATTATACTTGTGGATCCTAATCCCAAATTTTTGGGGTCAACCACACGAATGTTATCCCACCATTGCCCTCTTTCAAGATTCACGAACCATGCTTTCGTCAAACCACCAAGTGTTTATATCTTTTCTCACCATGACCACATTTTATTTCTCCTTGCTCTTTCATAGCCATTTTTACTCACACCCCAAGTCTCCTTACTGATGAGCATAGTGTCTGTCATCTATACAAATAAGCCAAGTGAAGAGCAAAGCAAATTCCAAATGATGTCAAAAGGTGAAAGTTGCCTTGGTTCAAAAGGAGCAGCTTGGTATTGCAAAATAAAATCCCCTCAATTGAACATCATCTAGGGGAATTTAGTCCAGGGACAAAGAGGGAGTGAACGCCTGGACAGAACGAAAAAGGGGAATGGCAGGCTATTGAATCTGAATTCGGACTTGGCAGGAACAAAGACTACTGAATAGATACTTATACAATATTCCTTACATTCACCGTGCAACATTAGCATGTCTAATCAGTGGCTTTTGTTGACTTCAATTCATTACTAGTAAAATATTAATAGACATAGTGAGGAATACAAGTATACAACAAATCTGCTGCTCATGGAGAGGGGCTGGCTATTGTTATTTGCTAGTCGTCTGCCCATCTGACACCATGTTTTGCTCCGAGATAGTAAGCTCCTACAGGGCCTCTGCCTCCAAACTCATAGAGCTCTGGGGCTATCTTGTTCTCATCTATCTCACGTAGAACTGGAGTCAGAATATTCCATACAGCTGCAAGCTCGTCACTTCTCATAAATAAATGGTTGTCTCCATCAATGACATCCAGAAGAAGATGTTCATATGAGTCGGGCACATCCACATTATACCTAATAAGCATATATCGAGTAATGATTGCATTAGAATATCATTGTCAAGATTTGAACATAAATTTAAGAATTCAAAGGCAACCAAGAAGTTAAGAACTTACTTGTCCTTGTATAGCAAATTCAGTTCTGAAGCATCCAGTTGTAAGCTTAAACCTGGGATCTTATTGTTGACTTTGACAAGGATTGCTTCATCAGGAACATCCCGTAGAATCAGTTCATTAGTGGAAAGTGCAATGTTATGCCCAATGCGTTCACTATAGAGGTTTCCTGGAACTTGGTGAAACTGGATTCGAATCTCCACTCTGCATGAGAACAAATATAGGTAAGAAAATTGAATCTGGTGAAGTCTGGAAATACCAAATCTGTGCTATTGGAATTTAGGATGGTAAATTGGTGTTTTCAGAGGACCATCAGAAGCTGCAAATGCAGTGTCAAGACCCACCCCGTGCACTAGATTTGGAATGTCAAAGATCATTCCATCACAATGATGGAACCATACATGCATACGTATATATATGATGGAACCATCCAAACAATCCTTTTGGGTTGAGCTTTGTGCAAACTACATGGAACACAATCAGATGGTTGTCTTGGTATAGTTCATGGCTGCCCCCAGATATTTCCTACATGACCCTTCAAGTGACAAGCTGTATTGTATGACTCCAGAATCCAGATCACCTGCCTACAAGAACACTACCCACTCCTACCCATAAAACACTACCTCCGTGTATTGGGAACATCATTGTTCCTGTATGCAAACTACTCTCACAAGATAACAAAATAGGCAAATGATTGATTTTGGAGCCAGAGTATTGGATTTTTTCCGATTTACATATTATTTACAGGTCTGCCCTGAGAGTTGACTTGTCTAATCATAGATCAGTTTTGTTTAAAATTTCATAATTGGCTAAGAGTTTAGGTTTAGGAGTAGCCAAGTTTTCAACCCATCACCCAGATGTCAAGATGGTCTGGTCTAAAACCAAATCCGTCAATTAATAAAAGTCCATTGACTTGGTCAAAATCCATTGACCTAAACATTTAGATCACTGAACAATTCAAATAATTTACTGGTTAACAGATCAAACTGTAATGAAGCAATATTTGTTTTGAAAGAAAATTAAGAAAATAAAACTGTAGCAAGACAAATTGAGAGAATAAAAATAGGAAACATTTTTCGCCACGGCTGCAAATGCAACTCTATATCTATGAAAAACATAAAAAAAAAGGTATGGCTTATTTGAGCCATCAATTTTATGTCTAGAAAATGATAAATGAAGGAAATGAATGAACAGTGCTTATTTGAGCTCTTACAACTTGTACTAATAGTGGTGATTGATTCTATGTACCCCGTTTTCTCTGTTCTCCTAATTGTGCAAGTAGCATTAGAGCCATCAATAGCCCCATAAGTTCCTTTATCAAAATTTCTCAAGGACTAGAACTGATCTAGCTAAGTTTCTTTCATTTTCAATAAATCCTGAAATTTTCCCATTCCAGACAGTTTCATCCTTTTGTCCCAAACCATCTCCAATTGCTCCTATTCTTTATCACACCAAAGTAGAATTTTTGTCCATTTTGTGCGTGATGTACTTCACACCCTACCGAAGTCAGTCATCCTTTTGAGGGAACTCCAGCTGATGATTTTACTGACAATTGGATCTCTATTATTTTTTGGGTCTATTTGGTTCGTGGGAATAAGGGTCTGGAATCAGAATTAGAATCCAACTGTTAGGAATACAGTTATCTTTACCACTTTTCAAAAAAAAAGGCAGCCATCCTTTAGAGTTTATTCAAAACCTGCCTACAATTTTTTTTATCAATAACTTCAAATTCATTAAGGCAGTAAGGGAAAATTACAAAGGAGGAGAGCTAAAATCTCCCAACTCTCCTCAAAATAATAAAGCAGAATTACAATTGATCCCAAAACAATTGATTTCTTCCCACCCCTTGTTTTGCCAAGGCATAGCAAAACCATTAGCTGTCTCTTAAGTCTTAACCCAACTAACTCTCACATCCATGTCTCATGTCAACCATTTAAATTTCTTCCTCTCATTGCTATAAGTCCATAGTCCATCTTCTTCCTTTTGCAGCCATCCCACCACCAGCTTTGAATCACCTTCTATAATCAATTTACTGATGCTCATGTCCTTTGCTCTTTGCACTCCTTCCACCATAGCCAAGACCTCAGCCCTTAATGAATCCCCCTCACACCCAGAAAATAGACCAACAATGTTGCCGTCTTCATTCCTGAAAACACCACCAATACCAGAGGGAACCGGATTCCTTGCACTACTCCCATCAAAGTTCAGCTTTATGAAACCATGAAGCGGAGTAGACCAACCAAGACTAGATACATACTTATGGTGATCTGAACTAGCAACTTCCTTCCAATTTCTTAAGATGTCACTTGTTGAAAAATCAACCAAGAGCTCTGAGGATTTTGCCCATTGAAATGCCCCAACAGTGATCGACAATGGTTTCTCTACTTCTTTCCTTATCAGAAAATATCCGTGCATTCCTTTCTTCCCAAATAGTCCACACTAAGGCAGTTCTTACACACCTCCACAACAACCTTCCCCTCTTCTTAGGCCAACTAAAGAAGGTAGAGGCAAACAAACTTTGCAAATTTGGTGGAGGGGTCCATCTACACCCAAACAAAGAAGAAAACCAATCCCAAATGGATGAGACAAATGGGCAGGATATTAATAAGTGATAGTGAGATTCTCCATTGGCCTTGCAAAGAATACACTAGTGTGGGGATAAGCACCAACTTGGTCTTTTCTTTTGGAGTAAGTCGCAAGTATTTATTCTTTCCAAGAACACTTCCCAACAAAAACCTCCTATCTGGGAGGGATAGGATAATAGGACTATTCCATACCTCCTTAACAGGAAAAACTTGTCCTACACTATCAAAGGATTGGGTTAAGACCTTGAAAAAGAAAGCACAAAAAGAACCAATAGGGGATTGAGTCCAAATCCAACTATCAGGTTTGGAAGGATCCAAGAAGACCCTCCCAAGTAAATGAAGCAAATCTAGGATATTGTTAAGTTCTGAATCCCTTATACCCCTTCTAAAACCCAAATCCCAATCAAAACCAGTAATAGAGCTAGAAGGAACAAGAAAAGTGGAGACAGGTTCGTCTTTGTATCTTGAGAGGACGTACAAAGGGATTTGATCTTTCAAAGCAGTATCCCCCACCCACACATGTTTGCAAAATTTAATCTAGTTGCGAGAACATACATCATGCCTAATACATGGAAGGAAGGTGATGCAGTAGGGCTGGAACAAAGTAACACAAGACAGAAAGAGAGAGGAAGAGAGAGTAGAAAGGGTAGAGAAAGAGAAAAGAGAGAGAAATCCCACGGAATCACTCAAAGGGGTCCTAGAATTACTCTAGGGTTTGTAGGAATCACTCCATACAGCAAGAGAGCTCTTAAGAAATCTTCATTCATTCGCTTCAAAAGGAAGAAAATACATCTATTTATAAAGTGACATGTGTGGCCTGGAATACTGTTCACCATAATTACAAAAATGCCATTCCTTGTCTTGTGCATCAAGAAACACAATAACTTTCTATCTACCAGTGCAAACAAACTGAAAATTGAATGACAATCACTACTAAGCTAGAGGAACAAGATGTTATAGCCCAGGGCCAACACAGGACTAGTTAAAATGACGAAAATACCCATACTGTAAATACAAAAAAATTAAGAAAATTCCATATTTGATTCTTCAGCTCCTGCATTATTCTCCCTTGGTTCAAAAAAACTCGTCCTCGAGTTTTGAAGAACTTGAGGATGAAAAGTTGATGTACCTCAATGACAAAAGGAGTAGTAATTCCCATAACTACTTCAACATACTTGGGTTGTACAGTAGATGTCACACACAAAGCTATAAATGGATATTGAAAGAAATGTATGTCTGAAATACTGCCTTCCATAACCTTCATTGTTAAATAATCAATAACATTAGCTTCTTGACCATTTGCATCACCAATCAGCCTATCTTGTGGTCCCCTTGGTTATCACTATGAACTTTCATATCCAAAATCTCAACTACAGCATTTGGAACTTTCCTTCAATCTCTAGTTGAGAAATCTCTATCTCTATGTGTCCAGCTCCCCTTGGTTATTCAGCAAAATCTTGAACTTCTAAGGTTCTACCATTATTGATGTTGGTGAAACTAGTACTATGTCAACTTGTAATTCTTGAATTGGATCCAGTTGAACTTATAAGGTAAAGTCATGACTTACTTCCTTACTAACATCTACTACAACCAACACATTTGCATCTTGTCCCACTTCTATCTCTTCTTGATCATTAACCTCAAGTTGACCATGGGTGTTGGAAGTTCCTTCTTCAACCATTCTAATCTTCTCTTGGCCTGCACTCTTTTGATCTTCAATGTTTACAATTTCTATAGGTTGAAATTCTTCATTCACAACTTTATCTCTAGGAGGGGCATCGACATGCAAGAAATCATCTTCTTTATCTTCAACTTTGTACTTTCTTCTCATTGGCTTCAAATTCTTTGTTGTAATCAGCTGCTTCTTCTCTATCTTAAGAGTTAATTCAAAGGCATGATCTAAGTCATAAATCTGAATTGTAGACAATTCATTCTTGATATCATCCCTTAGTCCATTCATAAAACAAACTGACTTGTGCCTTTCACTTTCTGTAATGTCACATCTAATATATAATTCATCAAACTTATGCATATATTGAACTACAGATAGCATATCTTGCTTGAGATTAATCAACAAAACATATAGATCATCATGGAAGTATTGTGGAATGTACTTTTCTTGCAAATACATCTTCATCTTTGCCCATGTGGTAATAGGATATTCACCTCTATTTTCTAGTCGTTGCTCAAGAGCTTTCCACCATACTCTAGCAATACCCGCAAGCTTCATGCGTGCAAATCTAAATCTTTGTTTTTTAGACATATCATGCCAATCGAAGTATTCTTCTAGTATAGTAATCCAATTAAAGAATGCTTGTTTGTCTTCATCTCCTTTGAAATTAGGCACTTCCCTTTCTCTTCAACATTCTTGAAAAACTTACTCCTATAGCCAATGTTACTAGATCTACTTTCTTCCACCAATTTCTCAAGTAAATCAACCATAGACCCTTCATATGGTTCAAAAACCCTATCATCATTGATTCTAGACCCATGAGATTGTTTAAATGATATCCTAGGCCCACAGAGTCGGACACTGTGTGAGAACATGGTGACTAACCATTAGCTCTAATACCAAAACTGATGCAGTAGGGCTGGAACAAACTAACACAAGACAGAAAT